AATTCTTCCTTTTTAAAATTGTGTTCATATATTACCAGCTGGTGCGATAAGATATTGTCACATTTTTGGTTCATTTTCCCACTGGTACAAACATTGGTTGTTTCCCACAACTTCATTTTACCTAGTATGTGCCATGGACCAACGCACTTGCTGCTATCAGCCTGTTAAGGAAAACAGACCGGGTATGTTTTAGTAGGCTTTTACTTATAATTTTAATTTCCCATTCATGTCTATCCTCGTTTTTTCCAGAGAGTAGTGTGGTTGAATTCTCACCACTCTCTCCCCTCAAATTCCTTCTTTAATATTTAGTAACATATTTGAAATAATAATCCCAGCCCTTAGGAGGCTGAGGCAAGAGAAATATCACGAGTTCAAGGCCAACCTGCGCTATGTAGTAAGTTCAGTGGAGCCTCAACTACAGAGCAAGACCCTGTCTCAAAGTAAATGAATCAGTAAATATATATTCAAGAAAACAAAAACAAGTAGATGAATTACAATAATAGTGATCATTCATCTTTTGCACACTAATTAGTAAGCAAGATCATAAGCACTATGTATGTAATGCAAGATGTTAGCCTGATGGGAGCAGTAACTTCATAATGTGCATATATATGAAAACACCACACTGTACAACATGCATGTGTTTTATATCTACTAGACATCATAATAGACAAAAGAGTTGGCTTCTGAAGTTTAAAAACTTCTTCCGTATACTTTTTTTCATTTTAACTGCAGGAATTATACTGAAATTTCTTCCCCTCTTGAGGCTATAACTCTCCATGTAAAAATATCTAATCGCCTATTTCCTTTGAAAGCAGGGTAGAACTGACAAAACATTTAAATGATTTTGTTAAGAGTATATATTAAAAAAATGTTTCTGTGGACATATATTTATATTTCCACTGAATTTACCTTATTCATTCTGTTTTGTAATGTAAAGTTTAAATAATATCTAAAATCTTAAGTACCCAATGTATCAGGAATACACTTCACACCTGCATTGCTTGAGCAGTTCACGAGGCTGAGGTGGTCACTAGTGCTTTTCCCTATCTTCAGAGCTACAACTAACAAGAAAATACTGTAAATCTCAATATTATGTACCCACTCAGCTGGTATTTTATTTTTGCATAGTGAAGATAATATTTTACTTATTTTTTATTTTAATTTAAAAAATAAAACAAAAGGGTGATACAGAATTTCAAAAAATAACATTAAGAAATCATCACTAGTTGATATATATTTTTATCTTAGAAGTGGTTGTTCAGTTTACAAAATCAAAGCATGAAACTTGAACAGACAATGACAACACAAACTATTCTGTTCCATATATGTATGTCTAAGTGCACATGATAGATAATTACTTGATCATTTACTAACTGATATTTTTTGACAGTAATTTTTTTTTGTCAATACCTTCTTAAATTTACCTACACCAAGCAATTGGTGCTTTTAACAGTAATAATACCTATTTTTAAGATTATTGAAAATAGTCACTGTTTACGTTAGAGAGTTATATGTGCTATATGTATATGATATTATAGATCCATACTCATTTATCTAACCCACAATATTTACTCTAAAATATCTATACAAAACTGACTGCTTTTCAATCTAGCTCTGGTATTGCAAAGTTAATTTATGTTTTCTTTTTGATTTCAGTATACAATGTCTAGTTGTTAGGAAGTAGCATTATGTCTATTAAGAATACATATTCAACTCTAAACTGCAAATATACTCAGCAATCAATAAATTACAAATGCTTAAATAAGGCAATATATTCTAGGTCATTTTGTTTTTAAGTGCCTAAATAAAATTCCCACATTAAGGAATAAAAGTGTTTTTGTGTATTTTAGAGATTATCATATGATGAAACATAACAGCATTATTTTCTAAGAATATACAAAGATTTTTATATCAGTATTTTTCTCCAAAGCTCTTAACATTAAAAATATCAGTTCATAATGCATTTAATATGTTATATATTATCAGCCTACACTTTCATAATATAGTTAGAGTATCATGAATAATCTAACATCATCCTATAGATTCACTACTGAAGTAATTATATCCAAATTCAGCAAAATGTGTAATATTATACATATACGTGCACATGCACATTAATTCACACAAATACACGTTTTAAAATAGTTCATAATCATTGGTAAATCTTCTGTATTGACAACTTTGAATCTGGGCCTCAGCTCACATACTTACCCTTAAAATACATGCAATCATTTTCCACTGGATTTCTAAATAGCCACCTTTCTCCCATTCTTTGACTGATACCTATGTTACAGTCTCCATATTAATTGTCTAGATTCTTTAAATGTAGCCATTTTCATACCATAACACTCTCATCATTTGAATTTTTCTTGTAGAGAATATGGATATATGACAATCCTGAAAGTTGGAAAATCTGTATTAAAAATTGTTAGTTTCCCCGTTGGTGCTGTGTGATCTCAGAATTGCTATTTTCCATTATTATTTTGAACAGCCAAGAAATAATGTTAGTACCTATCATAATCCAAACACTCCTAGGATACATCACATTGTCATTTGAGTCACTGTATTTCTCATAGAATTGAAATTCACAAGACTCTGAAAGAAGTAATTTTTCTGTCAGTATTTGTCTTTCATTCTATATGATGGTACACTTGTTGATTTATTCTGAAAATGAAATGGCAACATAGGAACCCATTTACCACTAACTGAGTATCTTTATTATATTTCATATTCTAGTATGATCTACAAATTGAATATTTTAAGATACTCCATATCCTAGTGTGATCTATAAATGAGAGTATTTTATATATTGTAATATTTTTATTCTGAATTTAATCTTCTGACAAATCTGAATATATTATATAAAATAACAACAAAATTATATTGTCATTCATAAAAGTAAGTTTTCAGTTCTTAACAGTGCCTCCATTTCTTGAAAATAAAATTTTGTTCATAATTTTTAAAAAAGTTTTTGAATCCTTCAATAGTGTTGTGACTGGCATACAATGGAGTATAAAAGAACATAATGATTTTTCTGTACAAATGTTAATTTTTTGTAGTACCGAGGCTTAAACCTAGGGTTTCATGCATGCTAGACAAGTGAGACAACCACCGAGGTGCATCTCCAGTTGTAATTACTCAGGTACAGAAACAAGGTTTTCTATAGCATCACAGTTTCAATTGTAGATGGATTCAAATGTATGCTTGGAAAAGCAGTAAATATAGATTAAAGGATGGCCTTGTGCTTGGCACAGATCGGCCAAATGTCACTTGAATAAAATGGTTCAGTTCTAACAAGTATTCATAAAATGTCAAGGAAGATCCAGTGAGAATAATTACATCTGTGCATACCCATGTAGGATAACATGTACTGCCCTTAAAGGACCCCTAAAGATAGATGAGAAAAACTTAAAGCATCTTCAACAACAACAACAGAACCACAAATCCAAACTATTATAAAAGTTAAATACACTGTTCTTAAAAAGCTACAAGGAATATTTAGATAAAAGAAAAATACCATACTTTGTTCTAGAGAATTTATGACAGAAAGTTCCTAAAATTGGACCCCCTGATGAGTAGAAATTTTAAAAAATAATTTTAAATCTTCTCTGCTTCATGTGACACAACGTATATGTCTGATTGGTTCATATAATAGTAAGTAAAAGGGCAATGATTTCTCCGGGCGATAATTTGTTAAATTTACCAACATTTGAAATAACATTCAGTTACTAATGTATATCCAATTTATAGTTTAATATTTTGAAATTTAAAATAATATGTATATTTTAATTTTTAGTGAAAATGTAATATTGGCATTCTGGAACAACTAACGTTTGAAATACATTTAAAATAAATTATGGAATAATTACTTCAAATTTTAAATTATGCCTCTATGATCATATATACTATTGACAGATGCATTAAATACTAAGAACCATTATATTCATAAAAATTAGATTTAAAATGTTTCATTTAGAATTTTTTGATAAATATGGTTCTTAAAAATGAAGTCAAATATGGTAATTTGTAAATGCAAATTAATTGTAAATTAATCAAATCAGTTAAACATCCAATTAATGTTTAAGGAAATTCAGATTTTTAAAGGCCTCACTCAAATTCAATCATGAATATTTTCTAAATTTACAGATTTGAGAACTGAAAAGAGAGTTTTAAAAAGAAATAAAACCTGGAATTGTTTTTAACTGTAAAAATTGAACTCTGAATTAGAAATGTTAATTTTTAAACCTATAATTAAATAAGCGAATGTGCTCTGTACAGAAAAGCAGCACCATGGAGGGAACTAGAGTAACAACTGACAATGAGAATTTTTGTTCGTAATTTAAAAATCTAGAGTATAAAGCATTTTACTTGATCATTGTCCATTTTAGTCAAGTTTCTGGAACTGTTAATACCACAAGCTCTATCCTCACGCTTACATGACATTAAAGAACATTAAAATAGATATGTGTTTCACGTTAGAAAATAACCTATTTCAGTTGATTATTTTCACAAAAACTCTACCTTTAAAGCTTGTCTTCCTTTCATTTATTTAAAATATCTTGCACATTTACAATTTTCATCTGAGTAATCGTAGTATGAGACACTTTATTCATGTTTCAGAGTCAAAAAGTTCCTCCAGAAATTTACCTTTGTAAGCGTTTATAGTGTTTAAAAAAAAAAAAATCAAAGTTTGAAGTTATGATCAGAAAAGGAACGCTAACAATTGCATTGGTAAATGACTTAACAATGTATAAAAAGTTACATCACAAGTAACATTAAATATGAACAAAAAATTTAAAGCATTCAAATAAAAGAATCCAAACATCAGGGCTGCATTAGCAAAGCAGTGGTTTGGGAAACTTCACTTCCCAGAAGCAGGCCAAGGGGGCGTAAGATTCAAGATTTTGCAGAGTCAAAGATTTGCAGAAAACCAGGAAGATGTGAATGAAGAAATAAAGGCAATCTAATGCAGGAATGCTGGCATTCTAATTTACTTGCTCTCTGTTTTACCTGCTTGAGGTGGCCCTGGCTGGCACTCTTGAATCTGCACATTGCTTTCCCCGTGTGGAACCAAGGTGCTGGCTTTTAAAGGGGCAGGGCACACCACATGCTCAAAGACAGAATTCTCGTATGTTTCTTCACTCTGCCAGTATGTAGAGTTAGTATTATTCAAAAATATTATAAAGTATAATCCACTGTCAAAAGAGCTCTCTGTATTTCTGAGGGAGATAGAGAGAGAGAGAGAGAGAGAGAGAGAGAGAGAGAGAGAGAGAGAGAAGAGACGAGAGAGAAGCTGAAATAACCATTGCAATTTGGATCAAGGTTTGAATTTATTTAATTCTACCTTTTGATTTGTTTGTATCTTTTAGTTAACGTTTTGCATTTAAGGTATGCATTTATTTCAAAGCTATGAGCCTAAAGTGATGCAATCTCCTTTAGTAATGTTTTATTCATTATACTGTTTTGTTGTATTTCTACCTATTTCCCACTATAAACTCTGCCAATCACAGTCATCTAATACCTGTTTGTAGTGTCAGTCATTCTACATTTGAAATACTGCACACATAAAGAGTGCAGAACGAATTTCCAAAACAAGTCCAGGATACAAAACCTAATACGAACACAAAAATTGGTTTTTAGTTAAAAGTAATCGTCATTATCATCAAAAAATTAAAAGCTCTAAACTCAAAAGGACTAAACTGTTTCGGATGTAACGGATTTGGTGAAACAGGCAGAAGCTCGTCATTTTCATGTTGCAGTAAAATTCTCATCTTCTGCAGCTTAAGTGACATTTACATTATGCTTATAGTTTCAGTTCATGCGTGGCTAGCAGGCACCAAGGCAGAGGGAGGCTGGGGGAAGAACAGGGGACGCGGAGCTGTTAAGCCTAAGAACGCAGGAGCACAGCTCCCCATCATCTCTCAGCCTCCCACTGGCCTCCTCCTGCTCACCGCGCCCTTAGCTCCTGAGCTGAAAAATGTGGAATCCACTGCTAAGTGTAGTTCCCGTGAGCCGGCTGAGTTTCATGCGCGTAAGAATTTTAGGGGTTATTTTAGGACTAGATCATAGTACTCCAGAAATTGAGCGATGTTTCCCTGAAGATGATTCTCTTGACAGTATGCATTTAATATTTTATTTTCTCTCCATCAGCATAAAGTTAATGGTGACATTGCTAATGATACCGAGTGAGTCTGCATGAACTACGACGCATTTTACATTATTTTAACAAATGAAGCCTGAAGTACTGGCAAAGATTCTGCTCATCAAGCTTCTCCTAAGCTATTCCGTTTTGTTTCATAATGCAACCAAAAAACCAGAACAAAACAAAGAACAAAAAACCGAGAATGAATCCTCCTTGAATCCTGTGTTACGTTAAATAATGTTATTAAGATTTGGTGAAATAACTGTCAAGCAATTACTTCCTTTAAATATTTATGAGAAATATAAAAATGCTTCTTTGTTGAGCACCAGATCTAAAATAGTTTTTTAATTAAAAAAAATTAAACACTTTAAGATTTGATTCACTATTATTAATAATGTAATATAACATTTTATTTTTATTGATTTGAATCCATGAATAAAGGCATCAAAGTAACAGTTTAGGGTTCAGACTTCTTGGAAAATACAAGTAATATTTTTTTTTCATCAAGTAGTTTTAAAATACTAAACAACCTTAACCCAACTGCAAACTACTTCTGCTGAGGTTTTGATAGTACTTTACCTCACCTTTTTGAGAGGATATGACTCATTGAATTTCCATAGTCCATTTTGAATATCACTTCGCAAACCTGTAACTTACATATCACCCAGGGTCCAGTTTAAAGCACATCACCTTTCGCTGTCTCCTCACATGGGCTTGAAGGAGGAGGAGAAGTCCATGGATACCAAGCTGGAACCCTCTTGGGTGACATTGTTGAAGATTAAAGAGGATAACCGAGATCTCTCCTCCATCGTTTACACAACATATTCAATAAATGGCTCATCATTTCACACATGGACATTGAATAACAGTTTTTAGTTGCATTTTCTTATGTGAGTGTTTTGGGGAGGATTGTGTTAAAATAATTTTTATTCTTTTTCTCATGCTGATAGCACAAGTAGGGGGGTTACTAGAACGTGTATTCAAATAAGCATTTGCAATCAAGCGTACATCTTACCGTGACAAGATACATTTTAATCTCATTTCAAACTGCCTAAGCTATCGACATGACAACTTTTTCTCTTGTCACAAAGAATGTTTTCATGCTATGATTAGGATCAGTAAAGCACGTCTACTTCAAATATAGAAATAAGCCATCTTTTATTAGAATTCCTATATCTACTGCTGTTTTTTTTTTTTTTCTCTAAGTCAGTACAATAAAACAAAGGATGGAACACATGCACCTTTTGTTGTAATTAATATTTTATTCTGAATATTGACTAACTGGGCGTTGGCGTGAACTACTGAAATTAAATGTTTTATTTGTGACGCATTTCACAAAGGCCAAAGCGGTAAAGAAAATTAAAAGGGCTCCAGAGGTGGAAAGAATAATCTAATGCCTTTAGTCTTGAAGTTCCGTTTGCTGGTGACTTTGAGTTGATCATTATACTCTTCTATAAAGATTTTTCTTTTCTTATGTGGAAAATAAGTCGATTTCTTATGTGGAAATCGTAAGTTACAAGTTTTGTTCATAATATTTTTCCAGAGAATTTTTAATATGTAAAATATTGTTATATTATTAAAGAAGTCATGTACCAGGGAAGATGACATCTATGAAAATATGATTGGATTAAAACCACCTAAATGCAATGTTGGATAAGTAGCTAAATATTTATAATTTATTAATATAATTGTATTCATTTGCTGGAAAAAAATCAATGCACATATACTTAAAGCTATTGCATAGGTCTAAATGGACATGTCCAACTATTTTATTACATATTTCACTTTTACCCATTCAATAATTATCTACTAAATCAGAAGAACAAAACCATTTTTTGCATCATAATACACTACTTCAAAAGCACTCTTACAAGTATAGGTATAGCTGTAAAAAGCTGTATCAATGAAAACAGTCTTAACTGCAAAAGAACATGGGCCTTTGGTGTAGATTTTCATTTCATGTAAATTTCCGCCTTGACAATAGCTGTGCCAGCCTGTCCATCACTCTTTCTGGTACATCTTCCCATTCCACAGTGTATTTATTTTGCACAGTTTTGCTGATTATATTTTCATGACTGAAATTTTCTTTTCAAATATATATTTATTTGATGTACTTTTGAGCTGATATACAATTAAAAAATAAAGATAATAAACTTTTTCTGGTACTTAAAGAAAGCTTCCCCTTACTTTTTTCATATTTTCTTCTGCATCCAAACTTTGGTAGCTGAATAATGTATATCTTCAGAGGAATCCTTAATTACTATTATATGTTTTTAGAAATCAGTTCAAAGAGGAAGGTGAGAAGCAATCTACATTTCTTTTCTTCTGACCATATGTTTTCTAAAATTTAACTGCATTCAAGTTTTCCTAGTTTATTCCTAGTAGTAAGAACTTAAAATGCTGATCAATTGATTTTAATTATAATAAATATAGTATAAAAATCTTCCATATTTAGGAAACTGAGGCAAAAAGTACAAATTGAAAACTTGCATGGATAATTTAGCAAGCACAGGTCTCAGAATTAAAGAAGTTTAGGTACAAAGCTCAAAGATAGAGTACATGTCTAGCATGCAGGAGTCCCTCTGCTTGCACCCTGATATCAGAAATTAAAAACAAAAAACAAACAAACAAAAAAAACCCTCCAGGGTGTTGGAGAGGTAGTTCAGTGATAAAATATTTGCCTCCCATACCACCCAAGGCCATGGATTTGGCCCTCAGTTCTACATAATCAATTAATTAGCTCTCAATCCTGATGGAGAGCCCATTGAGTTTAATAATGGGGAATGGTCTCTGAGCTTGTTTCCACCTCAGAAGGACTGTCCTCGGGTGTTCACTTTAACTTCTAGTTTTGCACTTTCTGCTCTCATAAGGCTACCTGCCTTCCCCTCTCGTCCATACCCTGTAACTTTCCTGATCTCTATTCCTGATGAAATCAGTCCATTTAGGGAAATTTAGTCAGTTGCTCAAATCCTGCCTTTCTTCCTGGTTAAAACATTATGTGCCACTATTGTTAAAAGAACTAGGGTTAGAGAAAAGGCGTCCTACTGTAGAGTAGGAGACAGCCATAGCCTCTGGGCCACCTCTGTTTTTCTCAACTGACCTGTCATATCAATGACAGCCTATGAGCACAATGGTGTCAGGATAATTAGGATACAGTATTTCAGCTCTGGTAAAGTTTTTAACCTATAAATAGAGGAGGAATGAACTTCAGACCTTAGCTCCTTTTGCTCGCAGAAGAACTTCTGTGAGCGTTAGGATAGGAAGGTGATAAGCTCTGGTAGTTTGTTTTTGTTTTTTTTTTTTTTTTCTTCCAGGGAGATACTATATTAGATAATTGTGTAAATATGGAATTCAAGAAAATTAATGCAGACCACATTAAAGGAAGCCAGATTAGTGATAGGAAAGGTGGTGAAAGGGCTTGTAAAAAGTCATAGAAGAAAATTTTCTGGAAAACTCTTTGTGAATATGTTGGTTTCACAGGTAAATGTCAAAATTCATAGAAACTAAACAATTTAAATATGCACAGAAATAATAATGTTATAAAGACTGTCTTCTCTAGATATTTAAAATGAGTCATTATCTTGCTTTAATATTTTATTTAATAATCTGATACTTTCCACAAGAATTATTTATACATTAGCTCTTTTCCCTAGCTTGTTTTATGGAAAGTTTGCACTAAGAAAATATTTCAGTTATTTTTGTTTCCATGTGTGTTTTTAAGTTAGTTCACACACAAGTATAATTAATTTTCAAGTGCTGATAAATATATTTAAATGGCTATTTGGGGTACTTATAAAATTATCAACTTCATGAATAATTTCAGTTTCGGTATGTGTGGTGGTGTGTGTTTATTATCCTAGAACTTGGTGGATGGAAAGAGATCACTACACATTCAAAGTCTGCCTTGGCTAAGTAGTGAGTTCAAGACCAGCCTGAGCTACATAGCAAATCTTTGGCTCAAAAACAAACAGAAAAGTCAGTTTTAGTAAAGATCATCATTTTATTAAAATTTCATTGAAATATTTGTATATTATCTGATTTTTTGTTTTGTATGCATTCATGGCATCAAAAAATTAATATAATATGGAATGAGTTATGTATTAGTATATGCACTTAAAAATAATATTTCAGTGTTCATAGGATTAGATGAATTCAAAATTTTTTCTTTTCCTTTTATCTT